AGAAAGGAAATGACAGAGAAAGAGTGAGGGAACCAGAAGATTGATAAATAGAAATTTTCCATGGTGAGCCGCAGAGAGAAAAAAATGAACAAAGTCTCTGGGGCATGTGGGACAACAACAAAAGGTTGAATGTTTGTGTCATCAGAATCCCAGGAGGAGACAAGAAAGCATGTGATGCTGGAAAAGTATTTGAAGAAATAATGATTGAAAACTTCCCAGGTTTGGCGAAAGATACAAACTTACAGATTCAAGAAGCTGAACAAATCCCAAACAAGTTAAACTGAAAGAAATCCACACCCAGATACAATATAAACAAACTACTGAAAGCTGAAGACAGAGAAAATACCTTGAAAACAGCCAGAGAACCGTATAAAGGAAAAGGATAGAGAGCAATGGAGGAGCTTTTTAAAAGAATGGTCAGGGCAGGCTCTGAGCAGGATATGTTAGAACTGAATGAGCTGAAAGGTCTAGTCGTGCTTTTTGGAGCAAGAGGGAGCCAGACAAAGGGAACAGCAGGTGCAAAAGCCCTGAGGCAGGAGCGAGTTTAGTGTTTCCATGGAATAGCAAGGAAGACAGGAAGGCTGTAGTGTAATGAGTGAATGAAGGGGTGGTGGTGAAAGACGAGGTCAGAGAGGTGGGACTGATAATGACCGTATGTCTAGGGGGAGGTCTGTCACGAGGGCTTTCTATAAAGTGGAGAACCCTGGCAGGTACTTCCTCACCTGGGGCCCCCTGCCCCTGTTCTCTGGGAGGACACATCTTAGAGCAGGAGACAAATAAAACAGATAATTTTATTAAAAAAAAATTTTTTTTTCAACATTTATTTATTTTTGGGACAGAGAGAGACAGAGCATGAACGGGGGAGGGGCAGAGAGAGAGGGAGACACAGAATCGGAAACAGGTTCCAGGCTCCGAGCCATCAGCCCAGAGCCCGACGCGGGGCTTGAACTCCCGGACCGCGAGATCGTGACCTGGCTGAAGTCGGACGCTTAACCGACTGCGCCACCCAGGCGCCCCTAAAACAGATAATTTTAATAAATCCTTTCAGAACCCAGAGCCCAGGGGAAATTAGTGAGGCAACAATTTTTCCTCTTTTTGGCTTGACCTCTGCTTTATGTATCTTCAAAACTCACAATCATTTGAAGTTGTTGGAAAAAAAACCAAACAACTGAAGGTACCTGGAAGTCTAAGTAAGCGGTCAAGATTCTTTTCCCTTGGCTCGTCAACCTGAGACAAGAAAGGGGGATGGTGTTTCTGTGTTGTTTGTTAAAAGAATGAATATAGGATATCCTTCTCCCATCTTCCCTCTCCCTTATCTGTGATTGGCTGCATCTGAGAACAAAGATGCCATCTGGAGGTTGGGGCGCACTGGGTAAAGATTTTCTCACTTTACAGGAGAAATATGTTACAGGCAGATTTTGGCAAAGGGAATCTTGGGGAAGTGACTCCTGTCCACTCAGTGGCTGCTGGCCTTTTTGAGACTTGAGTGGCCACCGGTCAGGACAGGCCAGGTCGGGCCTCTTAAACCAGAGGTCTAGAGGTGTGAGCGAGTGCAGGAGCCAGCAGGGAAGCCTCCTATGTCTCGGCCTGGCAAGGAGCTAATTCCAGAGAGGTCTTACAGGTTCTGCCACTCATTCAGTGTGTGATCTTGAGTGGGTTTGTCGTGTATAAAATGGGGTCGGGGCAGGGGAGGGTGCGCGTTGAGCTAGGATGATAGCCGTTGGCCTTTGCCGTGTGTAAGTTCCAATGGATGGAGCAAAAGGAGCCCTTCGGCGGGCTTAATGAGCAGAGCTGGGGTGCAAACGGCAGAAACAGCTGCAGGAGGAGGTGGCCTGGGGTGCAGGCCCGGCAAACTGAAGGGATTCAAGAGAAGCAGCTGGCAAAGGAGGGGGGGATGGAGAGGGGCCCTTGAGGGGAGACAGGAGTGAGTGGGGAGGGGCAGGAGGGGAGCATCGTGGCATCTGAGGGGCTGCCGGCTCTTCTGCGATGCTTGCTCGGCTCGGCTGCAGAAGCCTGATGTGATCCCCCAGGAAGGGCTGAGGAAGAGCTGGGTTGTATGTTCTGGCTCCGAGGTCCCCGTGTCAGCAAGTGGCACAGAGACGAGCGCAGCACGCAGCAGTTAGAAGGGGACTGACCTGAATCCAGCGGTGACACCAAGAGGGACAGGGGACAGATGTTCAGGTTCCCCACCCCCACTCCCTGTGCTCTGTCAAGTCCCCTCAACGCCCCCCGCAAATTACCACCCACGCTAATTCAGTCTAATTCAGACTCGCGCAAACACCGCTTACAAATGAGTCTCCGAGCTTGTTCTCTGCCAGACGGGGGCTCTAGGTGACCCCATGAGAAGTTCAGAACCAACCGCTTCAACCCTGGAGTCGCCATGTTGTGCGTGGCAAGTCACTTGGCCTCTCTGAGCTCCAGCTTCCTCTTTGAAGGGTAGGGTCATCGTCGCTGGCAGGATTGGGACAGTGTCCTGCGATGGTGCCCACGAGGCCCCTTGTACAGAGTCCTGCACCCAGAGGAGCGAGAAAACATTCTTTTCCTTTCTGTCTCCTGTATTAGGAAGAACTGCGAAAGACTTTGAAGAGCAAAGGGGATTCGTGGGTGTCCTTTCAGTGGGACTCTGGGCATTGATCCGATGCTGTTGAGGTCTGTGTTTCTGATGGGGCTACTTTGAAAGCCATAGGAAACCACAGTCATGCAAATAATTCTTGTCTATAGAAACGTAAGTGAATATTGTCCCCTAAAAATATAGGGAATTTCTGTCCCGGATAACAGATTATTCCAAACATTACATTCTACTGGCCTAAGGATACGAACCAGCTTGGTATCGCTCAGGAAATTCATTTCAGCATTCTTGATGCCTCCATGTGTCTGTCCTACAGATTCTTCTTTGAAATGATATGACCTCTCGGTGGTCTCTTTATTAATGAGTTAAATGGCATCTTTGTTTTTTTTTTTTAATTTACTTTTTTATTTATTTTTTGTTTTTCAGTATATGAAATTTATTGTCAAATTGGTTTCCATACAACACTCAGTGCTCATCCCAAAAGGTGCCTTCTTCAATGACATCTTTGACATGTGTTCGTTTATATTCGTATGGCTCATGTCTGTATCTTTGAAAATATTTTACCATCTACTTCCCTGAGGATTTATAAATCACTAGGTCAGATCAGACCTTTGTCACCCATTCCCCGCTGCTGATTTAATATTCAATTCCAAATCCTTCCCCATCCCCCACCCCAACACACACGCACGCGCGCGCGCGCGCACACACACACTCATCCCCATCTATACCCAAGATCTCTCACACACCCAGAAAAAACTTGTTTTGCGAGGTGTGTGTGCTCTGTGCTAAAGATGTACGCACCTGGGTGTTTAGCCAGGGCTGGGACCCCTGAGATCTGAAGCAGTCTTTGAGACCAAATTGTAGGGACTGAATGAGGTAATGGCTCACAAGGGGACAATATAATGTGTTGTCCGTTCAGAGTCTAAGTTTTACACTGAATTCTGACTTCACTTCAGGTTAAAGAATGCAAGGACCGGGGGCATCTGGGTGGCTCAGTCGGTTAAGCATCCAACAGTAGTTTTCGGCTCAGGTCACGATCTCATGGTTCGTGGGTTCAAGCCCCATGTCGGGCTCTGTGCTGACAGCTTGGAGCAGCTCGGAGCCTGGAGCCTGCTTCCGATTCTGTGTCTTCCTCTCTCTGCCCCTCCCCCACATGAGCTCTCTTCCTCTCTCTCTCTCAAAATAATAAATAAACACTAAAAAAAGAAAAAAAAGAATGCAAGGACCCAGTCTTCCTCTGAGGACTTTCCTGGTGGCCTTCTGGTGTCAAGAAAGATGGCACTGAGGGCCTAGGGAGGACCCCGGGCTGAGTGCGGCCCGTCCAGGACCAGGTATAGATGTGCCAACGTTCTTCCCAACGTCTGTTCCCTTTGGGGCTGCATGTCCTGCTGCATCAGGCCACCTGGGGCCTTTCCCGGGTTGGAACCCGAGGTTTCTGGAGGCCTCGGCCAGGAGGCATGGAAAGGCTGCACTGTGGGTGGCTGGTGTCTGTCTCTGGGTGTCCTCTTGAAAGAGTTTCTCTCACAGGCCCCTGCAGAGACTCACCGGCGGGATCGGTCCAAGAAAGGAGAGCTTCTGTGCTGGAGAGCTGCCAGGATCACCCGGCCGGCCCTGAAATATGTCTCTGGAATATGGAGAGACCCAAAGGAGTGTAATCACAGGCTCCCCTGTAGACCACGCAGCCCCAAGTGTGGTCGGGACCCACAGCACTGGTACCACCCGGGAGCTTGCTCAGGCCCGAGGCCAGACTTGCCGCATCAGAAGCGGCAGGCTACCAGACTTCCCTGGTGATTCGTGTGCACTCCAGAGTCTGGAAGGGCTGGGGTGCTGGGGGTCACACTCCCTAGGAGCGATCGTCTGTGAATCTCATTAGCTGGGGAACTGTGGGCCCGTCCCTTCCACCTCTCAGAGCGGTTTCCTCGTCTCTAAAAGAAGGACAATAACCTCTGTGCCACAGGGCCGTGGAGGGGTCAAAGGTTTGTGAAAGCACTGACAGCATTGCTCCATAATTTGGTTAAAGGCCAAGAGAACCCAAAGAAGCCCTGGCGTGGGATGGGGTAGATGCCTCCTGAGGGGACGGGAAGATGGTGAGGCTCCACCTTGGGACGGATCCCGAGCTGCCTTTCCGGTCTTTACCCAGGCGAATGAGTGTTCACCACAAGCAGGACACGTTCTCTTCTGCAGTGGAGCCCAGCTGGAGCCCCAGGCCCAGGGTGGCCAGGGCTGGGCCACGGAGCTGACCCAGGGGGCCCTTCCACTGGCCGTTTTGCCTGCAGCCGGGGAGTCCGCCCCATGCCCGCCTTCATTTCCCAAGCCCTCTCTGGGACCATCTACCGCAGGGATTTGTCCTCGGGCGCCGTGTACCGGGCGGCCCTCCTTGAAGGTTCCGAGGATTAGATGGAGTCCTTTGCACTCAACAGACACAGGGAACTAGGGGGCAGGATGAAATCATTTTAATAGCATAGCAACACTTTAGGACCAGGTGTCACAGACGAGGAAAATGGTTTGTCTTCCACTCGTACAATTCCGGTGAGGGGTGAGGTTGTAGTGAACAAGATTACGGACATAGTTTTCACATTGAAAACTTAATAAATAGGTACTTAAAACGTCAGACTTCAGAGACAATGGGTCGTGAGTGTCATTGTTTTCGTATTCTGCCTCCTCTGAGCCAGGAGGTGGCTTCCTGGCTGCTGACAAAGGTGGGGGCCCTTAGGACGGGTACTCGTACTCCTCAGCACTGCGCCGGCCAAAATCCATCCAGCCCATGTAGTCCCGGTCGCTTATCCTGTGACTGGGGTCCAGGCTCTGCAGGTTCTTAATGACGGACATTCGGCCAGAAGGAGCTACAAGGGGCAGGGGAAGAGGAAACAGGGCCATTATATCTAGGAGCATCACCAATCCAATCTGAGAGGAGCACAATGGGAAAAGCCAGACAATTTGTAACATGCACTTTCCTAAAGGTATCAAAGAGTTACCAAGCAGTGGGACCGCTGACCCAAAATCTCAGAGAAGACAAGGACCCAGGTCTGTGTAACCAGGGAGGGTAATATTTGCTAGCTATGGTTGTGGTTTCTAATCTGTAAGGATTTAAGTGGATTCACTGACCGTGGCCTTTCACAGCCGGGACCTGCCTGGTCTTTCTACCCCTGAAGGGTGTTTTCTCTTACGTAGCTGGCCCTCAGCAGACGTCAAGCAAGGATTTTCTTGGTACTTACCCATTTCTGAAGTTCACTCCTTAATATCCCGAGCATACTTGACTCTTGTTAAGGTAACACAATTACAGTATTTTGATGTTAGAATGGTTAAAAAAAAAATGGAGTCAAGTCCTACCACTAGACAAATACCATTGAAAAATTAATTTTAAAGCTACCTTCTTTTTAAAAAAATGATATTGAGAGAAAGGCACACTGTCAGATTATAAAATCTTACGTCAGTGACTGACAGAAGAGTGGGCAGAAAGGCAATAAGGAAGTTATTTAATTCAGCCCTTTTGATCCAAATGCAATAGCTGAATGAGAAATGGGCCTTTTGGAACTGGAGTTAAGTCCTCGGGAACAGGATGACTCTCATGTATAATTCACACTGAGGGAGAAGGGACACGAAGGAGCAGTTTCTTTGGAGACCTGACATAGTCTTAGGCCAAGGGTCACAGACAGAGGCCTCCCAGGTATGAAATCAGTAGAAGGCCTTCTTCTGTGCAAGCCAAGAGGCAAGTAAGTCCCTCAGGGACCTCGAAGGGCCAAGCCCAGGGGACTTTAAGAGCACAGTGATGGAAGACCACCCCATACTTCCTATTGGATCAGGGCACCGTGTCCCCACTGCCTGTGACGCTGGCATTCAGCCCTTCTGTATGAGGCTGCCCCTGCCAACTCCCGCCCTCAGGCGGCAAAGAGTCAGACAGACCGTGGCTTATTTAGTGACACATGACCTTGCAGAAGCAGTTCCTCTATCTCATTGGATAACCAAGTAAAGCCAGGAAATTAAAAACCAGAAACAATTATACAGAGCCATGTCCCCACCCATTCTTTTCCGCCCCCCACCCCACCTCAATCCCTTCCCAGCCTTGGAATCTGAGAGTCAATCCAGCACATTCCAGCCCCTTGCAGATATCTCCAGCCTATGCACAAGGAAGAGAGCCCCAGCTATTGAATTGCTCAACATCTTTTAGGTGAAACATTAGTCCTCGCACTAAAAAAATAAAAACAAAAAAACCCTGCAGTCGAGTTATCTGTACACAGTCATGGAAATACGGCCCATCTTCCTGCCTGCCGCGGATGAACACCCCCACCAAAGGCTGGCACGGCCCCAAGTTCCAGTTAATGAGGCGAAGTGGCAGCTTCCATGGGCACAAGCAGCCTGGGTTCTTGGTGGGGGCACCACGTCAAGCTCTGGTGGCTGTGCTCCCTACACACCTCAATTTCCCCATTCCACACACAGCTCTGCGCTCACAGCGTGTGCATCTACCGGGGTCCTCGCTCACTTCCCCAGTGCAGACGAGAGTAGGGACTTAAAACTGGTTTATGGAACGGAAGCGAAGGACCTGTCTCCTTTAAACTTGAAAACCCCCTGGGGCGCCTGGGTGGCGCAGTCGGTGGAGCGTCCGACTTCAGCCAGGTCACGATCTCGCGGTCCGTGAGTTCGAGCCCCGCGTCAGGCTCTGGGCTGATGGCTCGGAGCCTGGAGCCTGCTTCCGATTCTGTGTCTCCGTCTCTCTCTGCCCCTCCCCCGTTCATGCTCTGTCTCTCTCTGTCGCAAAAATAAATAAACGTTGAAAAAAAAAATTAAAAATAAATAAATAAATAAACTTGAAAACCCCGAATGGGAAGCTGAATGGCTTCTGGACCCTCTGAGGAGGGCAGGGCCTGGACGGACTCTGGTCGGCCTAGATGTGCGGAGTCATGTGGCTTATGCATTCTTAGAGTCCTGGCTTCCACAGTGACGAAGAATAAGCGAGCTTACTGCACAGGGCTGCTGGGGGCTAACCGTACAGGTGTTACAGCTGTAGCATGAGAGCTTTGCTGGGCACGGGGCAGGTGTATGCCATATGTCCCCGTGCTCCCTCAATAGAATTGCTTCTCCTCAGTCACTGAAAGCTTTGCAGACAATCCCTAATGATCAACTCTTGAGCACTCCTCAAAGAGTGCATTATCGCGTTTAGGGTCTTTAAGCACAACAGTTGAGTAAATACCCAGCATGATAATCAAAATAGTAAAATAGTCAAAGAAACTGTCGAGATGGAAATATTTATCCCCGGTTCATATTCGTCAAACAGACGAGTCTGATTGTTTCCTAGCCAGTGCTCATGGTGGGTGTCAGCAGCTAGGGGAGGCAGAGGCTGCCATTCCCACGTGGGTTTGGTTGGTGCCACAGGCTGAAGGCCAAGGGAGAAGGGGGCTGAGAAGAGGTGCCGGGAAGAAGCTTCCCGCTAAGATTTGTAGCGTAAAGCCGCTGTCAATGTCAGTTCTGGGGAAGTGGTGTGGTAACTGGCTTCCTTCCCGGACCTGTTTCTGGTGTTTTTTTTCCCTAAGGTGGGGAGGTGGCTCCAGATTATGGCTCCATGAAAAACCTACGCTATTTCAGACTGGTCTGGCTGAAGTTCAGCCTACCTCCAAGGACAGACATTAACTTATCGTGATGCAGACAATCAGCAAGAACTCAAAAAGTTTTCAGACTTCCTCTGTCATCTGACTAGTATTTCCACATCTCTCGATTCAATTAGCTGGAGAGAGAAACAGAAGATGGAAGCTGGGACAATTTCTCAAAGAGAGGACAAAATGTAGCACATCATCTTCTGCTTTGTTTTGTTTTCTTTTGTTTTCCTTCTGAACTCCCCTGGTCAAAAAGCCCCAGTCTTACCTTCATACGAAACCATCAGAGACTCTGGAAAGCTGAGCCCGTCATTTCCTCCTTGTCTAGTCAAGCCACGAGCTAAGCTTCAAATCCAGGTCCTGGCACATGAGAGGGTAAGGGAGCCTCATGGGAAAGGACCCCCTCCCACCCCTCCCAGCAGCGTTTTTTGTGGTTTATTGTCCAGCCGTGTCGGTCCAGTTTAGCCTACTGCCTCACAGCCTGTGTCGACCATAAGCGTCACTGTGGATCAAGTTGGTAGAAAAAAACCGCCCCAGTCCCAATCACGATTCCTAAGGAGCACACAGACGAATGAGCCTCCCTCTGAATCACACAAAGAGCTAGAAGGGACCTAGGGGAACTCTAGCCTCATCCCTGCTGTATAGATGAGACAGGCCCAGGAGAGGGGCAGGGTTGACAGTATGGCACTCAGCTAGTGAGCCCCCCAGTCACCTTATTCCTGGAGAAAGACTTTGATGCTGAGAAATCTGTGGCTTGAGGGCTCCTGCTGCAACTGGGACCATTTCTCCAACAGCAAAATAAAAACAAACAGGTCTGTCTATTGGGTGATCATTTGAAATCACTGCCGAGGGGAACTCAAAACTGCTCCTGATTCTTTCCTCCTGTTATGTTCTTCTGGGAAACCTGACACGTTGTCACTTCTTTTTAAACGGTTGCAGTCAGAACCCAAACGTTTTCTCAGCATTGATTCTTTCCTGCCAGGGGGCTTTCAAGTGTCAGCGTCAGAGTGGCTTCTGATTCCTCTGCATTTTCAGTAGAGGCTATGTAGTAGAACTGCAAATCTTTTTTGAGTCAGTAATTTGCTCTGCAATTACCTTTTAATGTCTTCATAATGTGGTGTTGAGCTTAAACAGCAACACGTACCAAAAGTTAGTTTCAAGAAAGCTTTTAAAAACGGTTTTCCCCAATAAATGTAATCTTCCACACTAGCTCTCAGTTTGCTACAAAGGACGCCCAGAAAACCACACTGCCCGGTGCAGTACAATTGGGAAAAGAAAGTGAAAACCCTTTCGGCCTAACGCGCAACCTGGGTTCCGTTTGGAGAGGTTATGCACCTCCATCCGCCAGACGCTAGGGAAGAAGGTCGGGATTGGGAGCCCCGCGCGGGGGCGGAAGTGAGGGATAAGGACCCTACAGATGAATGAGCATCCGTACCTTTCCGGGCCTGCTGGATGTATCTGGCCAGCAGCGCGCCCAGGTGCGCTCGGGGCTCGCCGTCCACCTTCTGCACGGCCCTCAGCTGCCGCCGGAGCGCTTCCTCCTCCTGCTGCGCCCCTGGGCCCGCAGGGTCCGCCGCGGGTACCGGCTGCGCCAGGGCGCCCGCCGCCAGTACAGCCATCAGCACGCACAGGCACACGCCTCCGTTCATGGCTGCGGAGAGCGAAGAGGAGGGGACGTGAACGAAAGGGTGGGGCGTCGCGGCCTCTCGCGGAGGGTCAGGGCCCCTGGGGTATGGAAAAGGGGGCTCAGTCCAAACGCGCGGAGCTCCAGACCCGCCACACTTGCGCAAGCTCTAGGGCACGAGGGCTCGCCAAGCGCCGACCGGAGCTCCGAGCGCGCTCCTTTTGTCTTTTGGGTGAACCACACCCGGTGCCCCGGTATGGGACGGAGACCCTGTCTTCTAACCTGATGAGCAGAAGGAAAACCTTCTGTTTTCCTTTAGTGCTAGAAAGTGTTCTTAAAGCGTCTGTCTTCTAACTGGAAAAGCAAGAGATTAATTAAAGATGGGAAAATTAGCTGGAGAGAAGACTCCGTGGGAGAAATGAGATCCTTGACAGCTAAAAAGCTTTCAGAAACGGCGAAAAATGAGTAGCGCAGTTTAAAATGTGGGAACAGTAGGGGCGCCTGGGTGGCTCAGTCGGTTGAGCGTCCAACTTTGGCTCAGGTCATGATCTCACGGTTCGTGGGTTCAAGCCCCGCGTCAGGCTCTGTGCTGACCGCTCAGAGCACGGAGCCTGGTTCAGATTCTGTGTCTCCCTCTCTCTCTGACCCTCCCCCGTTCATGCTGTCTCTCCCTGTCTCAAAAATAAATAAACGTTAAAAAAAATTAAAAAAAAATGTGGGAACAATAAATAAAAGCCATATTTATAAAGTTTCTTTAAGATGTAGATGGGAATTGACAGTAAACTACCACGCAAACCACAAGGATGGCTTTTCAAAATCAGAAATATGCGCTCCGTCTTCAGTCGTTGGCAAAACTCCGCTGCATCTTAGATCCACGAGCAGGTAACACTCGCACGTTTCGATCCCCAAAGCCCTGAATTTTTCTGCAACGCTTAGAAAATGAGTTTAAATCTTAAAACCTCTTGGTAGTTTATTTGAAGAGATCGCAAAGTACCTGGCACTTCTGTGCAACATCTAGCAAACCCCACTTTGCATGCTAATCCCAGCAAATAGATATTCCGGCATTGCGTGCTGCTGAGAACAAAGCAGGCGCTTGGAAGTCTCTCCATCAAGCTCTACCCACCCAGACCTCCTTGTTGTCTCTGACCTCGAGAAATGTCTTTCGAGCTGTCGGAAAGAAGACACAGGAAGCAGAAAAATGGAAGGGGTGCAGAACTGAAGACAGTATTCTTCAGCCAACTGAACACTTGGACCCCCCGCGGGAGAGTGCGGAACCTACCTTCAGAGTAGGACGCAGCTGGCTTCGCGTTTCCACCGGAGCGGCGGGGAGCCCAGCCAAGTTCAGGGTGGGCCGGCAGGAGGCTGCTGCTTAAATAGCCCCTCCCGGCGCTGTTAGCCAGTCATCTATTTACCCAGCCTTGACGCAGACGGGCAGCAACACGTGCTCCGGGGCGGCCACTGGGGCGACGACCGATTGAAGTGGCTCCTGGGAGAGAGGGGGCGATGGCTCTGTGGAGTTGGTGTCGGGTGTCCCGCCCCCCCCCTCGGCGGGGGGGGGGGGGGTGGGGAGCTTCCTCTCCCAGATCTGTCCGGCTCTCTCTCCCTTTCTCATTCTAGGGTGGGAAGCCTAGGTGTGGGGAATCTCCTCCAGGATGGAGAAGCTGCTGGAGAGTTTAGTCTGCTTTGGGGACCGCAGGGGCCGGCCAGGGAACCGGGGATGCGGCGGGCGGGGTGGGGTGGGGTGACTAGACAGGGCTGGGTGTCAGAAGTGTAATTCTGAGCTGGAGGGGTGTTGGCTCCCCCCTCGGAACCTCCCTGGCTGCGCTCTGGCTGTTTGGATCAGTGAGTGGGCTTCCAGGGGGAGGGAGGGGTCTTCACTGTCTTCTTCACGGTCCTAGGAAAAGCCCTGGAGGTTCTCCAGGATTCCTAGGGCTTGTGTTCCCCGGTCAGTGAAAAGGGTTCCGGCCGGAGCTGGCTCCCGGACTCCCAACCTCTGTGCACGCGGCTGTAAAGTGGGGATGACACCACAGGGCTTTGCTCGGAGTTTGGGAAAGGGCTGTGTTTTCCTCCGGGGCTGAATTAGCTCCTGCTCGCGGCGCGCGCGGCTCCCGGTCGCCGACGAGTGGCGCCAGCGAGCGTCCCAAAGAGCCCCCGCTCCGCGTTCCCCTCCGGCAACGGCATCCGCCCCTCCCACCTTCCCGGCCGGGTCTCCGCGCCAGCGGGGGCTGCTCGGCTTGGACGAGCAGGGGTCACTCGACGCCCCCAGGGGCAACGAGGCACCCAGGCCGCCCTGCGTCCCTCCCTGCGCGATCGCGCCCCTGGCTCGTGTGCCAGGCGACCCGCTCCAGGGCGCCGTGGTGCCCAAGCCCGTCGCCGACCTGAAGCCATTTGCGTTGGCGCTCGAGTTCGCCGCGTCCCCGCGAAAGGCACCGCCAACCGCATTTCCCAGCCCGCAAACAGAGGCGCGGCGGAGAGCTGCGCCTGGCCGAGAATCCACGGTCTGCCCCGGGCCGCCTCGCCACCGAGACCTCCCAGCCTGAGACCCGGGGGGTCGCGTCTACCCCTCGTCCCGTCCCAGGACCCTCCATTCCTCTTCTCCTTTCCCTCCAGAGGATTTGGAAGTGCTTCTTTCAAAACTGGCATCTGTGGGGCTCAGCTGTGGGGCTCCGGAGATGGCGGGACCACGAGGAGCGCTGCGAGGCGGCAGGGGTGGGGGGCGGGGGAGACACTTCTGGTTGCACACCCCCCCCCCTTTCTAAACTCTAGACGCTGCAGTATTTCTGCAACCTAAAGGAAACGTTTCTGAAAAGGCAGCAGATAAAATGTTTTCCCACGAGTCTGCTGCGAAGGTTGTGTAGTTCAGTTGGAGAGACTAGTTTTATTCCTGACCGTGGCCAAGACATTTCTGGGAACATAAACTTGTTATAAAACAGAATCATGGAGGGGCGTCTGGGTGGTTCGGTCGGTTAAGCGTCAGACTTCAGCTCAGGTCACGATCTCGCGGTTCCTGAGTTGGAGCCCCCCAGGTCTGGCTCTGTGCTGACAGCTCAGAGCCTGGAACCTGCTTCAGATTCTGTGTCTCCCTCTCTCTCTGCCCCTCCCCCACCCATGCTCTGTCTCTCTCATTAAAAATGAATAAATGTTTTAAAAAATTTTTAAAAATCACGTAACGGGCTTGTTCAAATGTCGCTAGAGTTTCTGATTCTGAGGTGAGGCCCAAGAATCTGCATTTCTAGCAAGTTCCCCATGATGCACCTCCTGGTGGCCCCCCAGCATACATTGAGAACCACTGCTGTAGAATTTCCCTATGGTAAGCCAGTTACTTAACTTCCTTCCTTCCATGCATTTCATTAATAATTAATATTTATTGAACCCTTGCTTTGTGCCAGGCATTGGGGATTCAGTATGAACAATGATGACAGTATAATGGGGGAGCAGAAAAAAACAAGTAAACGTACATACACCCCCTGGTGATTCTGATGTATTTGGGGGACCCTCTGGGTGGAGGAGGTCGGGCACCATCCCAGAGAAATGTTTTGATGAGGGGGAGGGAAGGAATGAAGCTCCAGGTTCAGAAAGAAGAGTCTGGTTGTGATATGAAAGGTGTTCCAAGTGAGAGGGAAGACCGTAAGTCAGGATCTGTTAGGAAGGCCAGGAGGGATCAAGATAGATTTATATTTAGGATTATAACCCATTATGAAACTATTAATTATTATGAAACATACTAAACGTTATGAAACTAATGTGTTCATCAGAGATAATTCAGAAAATAAGTGAAAGTAGGGACAAAAGGAAAAATCCCATCACCCTGGAACAGCCACCATTAACCTCTTGGTGTTCGAGAGGCCTGTGGAGGCAGTGAAACTGGGTGACTGAGGCTGACCTCGAGGCTCCATGTCATGAGCCAGGGGAGGAGGGTGTGGAGAATTACCCAAGACAAGGAATTCAGGTATGAGAGCAGGTTTGGGATATGAGGGTGAGGTAGGTAATGAGTCTAACATAAGCCTGAACTCACTGCTTGTGCATGGGCGGTCCAGGAGCACGTTGAGAATGAGCCCTGAGCAGTGCCCTCTCTGTCTCCCACCTGCCCAACCCTCACCCCGTTACCACTGAGCGAGACTCACCAGCTGGGGTCCAGAACGTGGAGGGTCCTTCCCCTCGTGCAGGGGGCTGAGAGCATGACAGCCGTATCCAGATGTGGCATTTGAGACGGAGCAGTGGTGAGACTTTAACTGGTTTTAGAATCTCGAAATTTCCATCTGATTGTGCTGAAAAGCAGTTAAGTGAAGTCCTGTTTAGAGTTAAGGAGGTGTCTCCAGTGGGTGGTCCTTGCAAGAGATGCAATCACTTCAATGTAGGATTTTTAGCCACGGGAAGGATCTCAAAGACATATGTCCATTTTGCACTTGTAGAAAACTCAATGGCATTTGCAGGGACATACTAGAGCCTCCTAATTTATTATCCACAGAATTTAAACTTGTTACAAGTAACCCCCGTTTGAAAGAAGTCAGGAGACTCTTTGCTCTGATTCCTGATGTGTTGGTTTGAAGGCTTCTATTTTGGGTCTTGAGTGTTTCCCCTCGAACATGTATTAGAAATGCCATTATTTGTCCTGGAACTTCTCAAAGGCCCACGGAGCCAGTGTCATCTGCTATTACCTGGAACAGTTTGACTGAAAAGAAGGAAGTAGCTGTGGTCATTGTGAAGAGTGCTTCCTCTCCCAAATGATGAGTTCCGTAGAACGTCTTGTCTTAGTTTGAGTGCTGCAATAGCAGGGCTGAGACAAGCACCTGGGCACAGGGGGGTTATCTGGGAGCTCGAGGGAGCAGGGGGGAGGGAGCAGGGAAGAGAGAGAGAAAACAGTCTGGTGCATGCTGATGAGTGGGTTCCTGGTGTGGCAGCAGTCCCACTGGGGTCTCTGTGAGATATCTCTTGGAACGTGACTACCTGAGGCTAGGAGGAGAGTCTGGGGCATTTACTCACCAGCTCCTGTGGCCCGTTGGTTGAAGGCTTCTCCAGGGTTTCAGCTCCCCCTTCGCTTCTGAATAGGCCTCCCTGCTCCTGCAGGGCCAGAGAAAGTTCTCCATAGAGAAGAGAGAAGCTGATGGCTGAGGTGGGAATAGCTACCAGGGAGCCAAGGGCACTAGCTGAGCCGCTATAACAAAATACTGTAGACTGGGTGGCTTAAATAGTACGCATTTATTTCTCACAGCCTGGAGGCTGAGAGGACCCAGATCAGGGGGCCCTCATGGCTGGGGGCCTGGTCAGAGCTCTTTTTTTGGGCTCTCTTCCTGCTGTGTCCTCACATGGTAGAGAGACAGCAAGCTCTATGGTTTTGTTCTTGTTAGGGCACTAATTCCATCATGAGGACCTCGCCCTCATGACCTCATCTAAACCTAATTATCTTCAAAGGTCTGACCTCCTAATACCATCACACTGGGGGTTAGGGCGTCCACATACGGATTTGGGGAAAACTCATTAAGCCCATAGCAGGCTGCACCATAGCTGCATGTGGAAAATATCTTCCTCTTTCACTGGTGTTTCTGCAACGTTAGTGGAATCCCTCAAATCTGGGGAGGAAGGTCCTCTCAGGTACAACAAACCCAGACACCAACAGGTGAGTAAAACAGCCTGTGAGTAAGCAACATCACAATGATAAGCGTCAAGGGACACTTTTGGGTGGTAGTTAATCCCACTGGGGACCCCTCGGGTGAGTGCAGAACTCACACTTCAGAGTTATCTTACCTGAGTGGGTGAGGGAGCTGGGTATTTATACATCAACTCCAGACAGTCACTGGTTGAGGCTGGTTCCCGGAGGCAGGGCGGTAATTAATTCCCTAGCGCTTCTGGCCCACTGTGTGTGTGGGCCAAAGGGGTTTCTAGCTCCCACGGGAAGCCCGTAGAGGGACAGTTACAGCTGCTGGCGTGGGAAGCTGGGCCTGCTGGCACTCTCAAGGTCAGGACTGAGGGGTTATGTGACACAGCAGATTTATTCCTCTAGCACTTCGCTAACATTCAGTGTTAGAGCTTACCATATTTTATCTTAATTTCCTACAACCGTGCTTGGTACATAGCAGTTGCTCAATAAATCTGTTGACTGACCTCTTCGTCTATATGACTAGCTCACTGACCCATATGCCAGGGGACAGGAACTGTGACTTATGTGCTGGACGCATGCTAAGTGATCAATAAACATTTACGGTGCAAACAACTCTTATAGTTTAGTAGACAGGTTGTATGAGGTGCTTGGTGGTGAGTGAAAAGCCATTTGCTGACCCTTGGCTGGGTCACTGACTCCCAAACGGTCACAGGAATTGTCTTCAGCACCATTTCTTTCGCCAGGGATGTAAGAGCCACCTGAAATGGGAGGTTGCCTCATGAATGGGTAACAAGTATGAGAAGCGTTCAGCT